TTTACACGGTTGTAAATTTAGTCTATTGTAGTTAAAAAAAACACGAAACACATCTCGTCTGCCTCTTTATTTCTTTTATGACATCAATATTTCTTCAAATATGTGTGTTTATTTATGAGATAAATTCATGTAAATAGGGAATATTGTGGAGCATTTACTTTCAAGTAAATTCACAGGTTTGTTCTTACTCAACTCATAAATCCTCAGATCTTTATCCTCTTATATTTCTTACATATGTTTTATGGGTACCAGATTTTCCCCATTTGGCAAAAAGGTGTTTCTCTGTTAAATGTTACAAAAGATGCTTAAAAGACAATTTAATTGCAGTAACACACAATTTAAATGTTTTGCTTTTATTGATATTATAGCTATTGCCATTATTGTTATATGTTTTTGTCTCATTATTAGCTTGCCATCACTTTTAATCTTTCTGTATTCTGTGTTTTTTTTTTAAACCTAGGTTTTCTGCCTCTTCCTGCATTTGTTAAAATAAATGTGGAAATTAAATACAACTAAAATATCTAAAAATAATTAATTTCAAATTAAGCTCTTAGGTTTTTTATTTTTTTTCAATTTAATAAATTTTAAAGATTTATATATGTATGAAAAAATAAAAAATAATAAAGTAGATTGTGAACAATTAAAACAACGTTTAGTTTGAGCTCCACTAACCGACGTTACTTTCAGTTATTAACCGTTAGCTCAACGCAACAGGGCCGTTGGGGGAACTTGAAAAGCTAACGGTTAACGGCAGTTAGCCCAACTGACAAGCCACTCGGGTTAGCTCCATATATATATATATATATATATACATAGCTTAGCTTAGCTTGTGAGCAGCTAACTACCACTGTCACTGGCTAACCGCCGGCTAACGTGAGCTCCTCCCGCCGACACCGAGACTCTTCCCCCGGCCTGAAATCCACCACAGCGCCTTGTTAGCTTCAGTTAGCTCCTCGCCTGTTAGTGCGACACACTGCGCTCGGCGGTTGGGAGTTCGAAGGGCGGCCGTTTTAGCCCGCGGTTCGTCTAACGGTTACCGAACAGAACGCCTCACCCCGGGTTCGTTACCACGCGGGGGGGGGAGAGGGAGGGAGGGGTCAAACGGTCCCGGTTCTGCTCCTGCTAGTCACGGGCTCAGCTAACGTCGCGGCTAACGGCGCTTTTAGCTGCCTCCCTTCAACCAGCCGCCGTCTCACATGCCGGCGAATAAACGCTAAATGCCCCCGTGCTTCAGCCCCCGTTGGACCTACCTTGAGTGGATTGACTTTCACAGTTCTCGGAGGCGATGATTGTGTTATTTTTCTCTGCTGTCACTCTCCGTCATATGAAGCCTATCTGTGATCGTTTCGACGTTATTTGCCTTCTTCTGCTTTTTTTTTTTTTTCTTCTTGGCACTTCACGTTCACTCTACCGGCAGCGGAAGAACCGATTTCATGACGTCAGGACGTAAAGGGTAACGCCTAAACGTAACGTGACGTGACGTGACGTAACGTAACGACGAGACCCTTGGATAGGACGCTGGAGACGTGATGTGGTCATTGTTCAAATATCTTTAATAAAACATGTATTAATAAACACTTTCATAATGCAGTGAACTATATTTATATATTCATAATAAAATATATAATAATATATGAATATTCTAATACATCTATTTTGATGAAGATGAAAGAGGTTTTCATTTAAAATGTTAGATGTAGTTACATAGATAATATCATATAAAGCATATTCTGCTCGGTTTAACTTAATATTTAGTATTCGGTTGATTTCTCTGGTCTAAACGAGCAGACGCATTTTTACTTGTTTCTCCATTATTTGCAATTCAGTTCAATTACATTTTTAATTTCAGTTTTATTTGTTTTATTGTATTATCTCATGACACTTTTCGTACAGAGCAGTGCACACAGAACAAGTGTACAAAAGTATTTTATTAATTTATGATAAGCCTTTTTCGCTTGGGAACTAAACTGTGGCTTATAATATTGACAATATTGATTGTGTTTCTAATGAATATTTGCAGGAAGCTTGCTCACAGCCATGCAGACGATCCCTTTGTGCCACAAAGGGATCGTCTGCATGGCTGTAGGCAGGATTTTAGATGTATGGAGATCTAATAATAAATAAATGAGACATCCTGAGTTATGTATTTTTACATTTATTCAGTTAATCAAGTATTTTCTGTAAAAAATTATTCTCACACATGAAGATCTAACGTCTGTTTCAAAGTTCTGGTATGGGAAAGGACTGAACCTTCATGTAATTATTTTTTTTCACCTAAAATTAGATATATAATGAGCCTAAAACTACTATTCTCCTATAGATTTGCAAAGAGGAATTGCCCTCTGTGTACTCAATGGTAGCTCCAACCATGTCTGTGATTAAATACTAATTATAAACCCCAACAAGAGATAACCAATATCAGCTATGGGACTCAATGAAATGAAGATCTCGGACATCGTTGTGAGACTTCTTTTATTAATCTTGTTAACAGTCCCAATTAAAATCTGTCATACAATCACTTGCAATGACGAGAACACAGCGCACCGTTCTGTGTTCAAACATTTAAACATGTAAAAATATTGTGTCACTCATTATAAAAAAACTATCAATAAAAAGAGACAGTATCTGGTTCAGTACAGAGATGATGATCAATAGTACAGACTTCAGTTTCCATTCTACGTTGTCATTCATACCTTCATACCTCTGAATTCAGTCCACTGCTGTTAATGTGCAAAATTACTTTACAGCAGTTCAGTTAAACCCCGTCACCCACTAACAGTTCTCAAAATGTTCCTGATACAATCAGCAGTCAGAATAATCACAGTACTTATTCATATTTACAATTATCAGTTAATCTGGCCACATGCCTCAAACAACAAGGATTATTTATCACAAATAAAAAAGTATAATAAAAGTTAAAGGTCCAGTGTGAAACATTTAGTAGGCTCTATTGCATATAATATTCATAGGTGTGTTTTCATTACTGTATAATCACCTGAATATATTAGTGTTGTGTTTTTGTTACCCCAGAATGAGATTTTATCTACAGAGGGAGCGGGTCCTCTGTTACAGAGGCCGCCATATTGAACCGCCATGTTTCTACAGTAGCCCAGAACGGACAAAACAAACACCGGCTGCACCAGTTTCTCCTACAAACTTTACAGCTGTTACACACTGGACCTTTAAATTAACTTCCCTTTGACAAAGAAAATAAACTTGTAATACTACTTTTTCAACAACAAATTGAATAAAAACAGATCTTCCATGGCGTGAAGACACTGAATGATGAACTCCAAGTAATGACGTTATAATAGGTAATGAATGAAATGAACATTCACTGTTTCTTAAACACAATACAGATTATTACTAAGCAGCAGGTAACTGTAACCATCAGTATGTCTTTGTTACCATTAGCACCACAGCATCATAGAGGTCATCAGCATTTAGTTGGTGTCAACACCAATGCAGCAATAAAAACCAATACAATTCATTGAATCTTCCCAAACACACATAATACAAGATACACTCAGTTATTTTATGCTTCCCTAAGTTTAACACAGCAGAATATACAAAGATAAAACCAAAGGATGAAGTTAAAAACTGATCAAACTGTGGATGATACGCAAACTTCTAAATCTTAAATACTTGAATACTTTTATCAACACTAACAACTCAGTTGTGATACAGGAAACAGAGGAGAAGAGCAATGTTGGTACAGAATATAATATGTTTTACATTTACAGTAGATGTTAATTTAATGAAGTCTTTGTTTCTCCTGGAAACAAGAAACAGGATTCAAATATCATAGTAAAGCAGCGAGACAGCTCTCAGTTCAATATGATTAACATGTTGCAACCATATCTACAAGAGAAGGCTCACAGACTTCTAGTGAAAAGGTAATAATATATTAGCCTTCAGGACATTCTGCCCCTAGGTTGTTTTTAGCCTTCCCAGTTCAAATGAGGCTAGTAGCACCACCCGACTCAGATTTAGCTGTTCAATACGAACATTATTATACTCAAACAGAGACATACACAAGACAGCTGCGTAGTAGTTCTGTCTATCCTACTACTAGTCTACATTCTCCACGCGCAGTAGATCAGCTGCCGGAAGCCTCGTAGCGTAAGTGGCTGCGTGGAAAGTCCTCACAGTCAGAACAACAAGTCCACACAGAGACCTTCGTGTACTCAGTCTAATTCCAGACGCACGTTTTAAAGCCTTTCTTTGTTAACTGTGATGTGAAAATATGAGATTTCCACACAGTGAAAGAAAGTGTATGTCCACCACGGAGCGTCTCCCCTGCAGAGCTGCTGACAGCGCTACCGAACGGAGAGCACATTGATTAAATTGGAAGAACCATCCGTCCATCATCATTGCTGCTGTTCTTTGTTCTTCTTTTAATGAAGAAATATTCTCCAGTTCTCATATAACTGATATCTACACTAACCTCTATGCACCCACCACACTACTGCCAGTACGTCCTCAGAGGACGCTGACTGGTATAGCACCATGGTATCACAGTCTGGTTCAAAAGTGGTTTAGCTGACTTCACTGACAGTTATCACCGGAGCAAAGAGTAAAGTGACGGAGCAGCCAAACAGTTTGTTTTGTGGTCATTTTGAGACTTGGTTTGTAAAGTGCAGAGATTCGACTGACTAAATGTGTCAGGTTCACTTGGGGTCTCCTCGATTGATGACTCAAATCATCAACTTTTAGAGGGAAGCCCTGAGTAGCAACACTGACAGTCACTGAGCATTTGGGGGAGGAAAGGAAGGACTGGGAGTGTCTGTGAACTCCAGAAGGTGGTTCGGAGGTTCAGGAGGAAATACCAAGAACTGGAGGTAGACGGAGAGCAGCTAAAGCAGAGTCTGTTGTGTACACAAACTGTAACACGATGCAAGAGAATCGAGTGCATAGCGGGTAAAATGGCCCTGTGGCAGAGATCTACAAAAGCCTGATTGTGAGCTAGCTTTGTGAAAGTAGTACATATATGCATAGACCAGTTATGCTCCATCTTGTTCTTATAAAACACGTGGTGGGGAAAAAAACCCTTCAAAACACACAAACACGTCACTATGCAAAACATCACAGACCTCCGATATCTCAGTTGATGCAGTTGTGGAGTGGCAGGGGAGGACAGGGAGGTGGAGGTCATACAGGCAGCTGCTCACAGGCAAAATAGTCCTTCAGAGGAGCGAAGAGGTGACGGATGACCGGCACACTCCATGCCTTCCCCAGCACCTTCTGCCTCTGCTGCCGGTTCATGTTCCTCACGTCGGTGTAATGTTTGGGGAAACCAAAGATCCTGGTGGACCACAAGGAAGAAGGCACACAAGTGTTAGCGTAAGTCTCAGTTCAGAGCTGCAACATTGATCGATGAGTCTCTCTGGTTACAGCTTCTTGCTGGTTTTTGATCTGAATATTGTCAGATTTTGGACAGTTGGTTGAACAAAACAAGATATTTAAAGTTGCTTAAGCTCTGTAGTGGATATTTTTCACTGTTTTCTGATGTTATAACCAATATTAGCGATGTCTTAGTCTCTCTATAGGACAGGGTTCATCAACCTTTATTATCAAAACAGTTATTTTTGGCCCAAAACAATATATATCTGGAACAGCAAACCATATAATGTTATTATACCAACACCAATAGATGAAAATGTTAAAAAATAACCGTTCCACCGTTTTCCATATTATATTTTGTTAAAGCCACAGGGCAACTGTCCAGTGTAAAAGCATCATGTCTGTTTCCAAAGCTCTCTCTTCTCTGGCTAACAATTAGTGGTGTACGACAATATTGATACACATACGAGTATTGCAATATTATTTTTTGTGATTTAATTTATATCACTATACTTACAGTATCACAATATATTTAACTGTAAGCCCTGTATTGTGACGTATGTTTCATATTGCCAGATTTCTGTCCATACACAGCCCTACTAACAATAAAAGGGTTAGTTCATGGTCTAACTCATTGACCAGAGTTAACAGAGTCAACACACAAAACCGGCTAAGCAGTGAGCCTGTAAATACTGCAGACATTTAACACACACACACACAAGTATCACAATTCCTACCTTTCCAGTTCAGTGATCCAGAGGTTGTCCTCTTTGCCGTTCTCGAGGACAGGCAGCTGAGAGACACCTTTGCCTTGCTTCAGAGAGTTTGGATTGGTGGTGATCGTCCTCACCTTGGTGACCTGGAACCAAAACAATTTAAGTTACCTTAATTAATCACAATTGTTAAAAAATAAAATACATTAATTTTTTAAAATAGAGACTGCAGACACAAAATAACTGAATAAAACGGACCCTGGCCTCTCTACCGATCTCTAAACAGTCCTGGAGGGTCAGCTTGTCCTTCTGGGAGGCGATAATGGGCCTGAAGGGAGATAAACAGCCAACAGACTTCAGTTATACATTTTAAAAACAAAACAAAGTGCTTTAGAAGATAAAAGAAAGAAAAAAAAAGGGTTTTAGGAGACAGAGAAAACAATATATAAAAGCAAAAAGAAAGATGATACCTCTACTGCTACAGGACACTAATATTATTAATAATATAATCCTATTAATACTACTATTATTTATAATATCCTTGTAATTGAGGATTAATTGATGTTACCTGCTCATCCCTGGGATGTTTCCCCAGAAGTAACGACCTCTGTGGGCAGGGCTAACTTTGACTGCATTCACCAGCACCGGGTTGCACTGTCGAAGAATCACATCACAACAACAGTCATTCTCTTGAGTCTGGAAAATGTTACTTAAGAGGAAGAAACAGCAGTGTAATGAGGAAGGAAGGAAGAGAGGAGATGGACCTTTATTGATGCCCAGAGGGAGAACAAGGACGAAAGACAGTCCAGATAAATAGAGAAAAGTAAAAAAAGAAAGACCTTTTTGTATATAAAAATAATTATTATAGTATTAATATTAGTGTATTCAAGTGAAGTGTTATGGTGGTGTGATGAGTAGCAGCAAAGTCAGCAAAGTTACATATAAGAGTAATATACCATCTACTATACCAGCATCTGTATTAATATATTAATATAATAGAAAAATGACATAATATAGTACAATATATTATAATATGGGATATAAAATAAGTCTACGGTGAAATATAGTAATGTAATATAACATAAACTTTATGTGTAGTAAGACGAGGTGAGCACTCAAGATAAAAGAATCCAGCAGAAACCAAACAGCAGTGGATGTGACGAACCTCGAGGAAGCGGCAGATGTTGACTTTATCATGCGTGTTCATGAAGACCACGTTCTCAAACAGCCAGAAGAACGGTCTGGGGTCTTCCTCTTTGGGCTTCAGCAGCTGAAGGATGCGGAAGTACTCAAAGAACAGCCTGCCAGTGCCCTCTGTCGGAGAGAGGAGGGAATTACAGCAAAGAACAAAAGGCCCCTGTCTCTTATCTGATCTCATCGTCATTATTAAATCAGGTTTCCAACTACAGATTATTTCCTATTGGTTCTTTTATTTGATCAACTGATTATTCTTTAAGTCTACAAAAAGTTTTCAATCTACAAATATGTGAAAGTAGCACCTTTCCACACAGAATTATATCAATCATTTGTTTGATTGATTGATTTAAAGTGGTTACATACCGTAGAGGCCTTTTCTTAATGGGTTGACGATGGAGAGGTCATTACAGGGGCTGCCACCAATCAGCAAATCAAACGGACCCCACTGCTCGAGCTGGATGGTCAAAGAGGGACAATGAGCTGGTTTATTCAGTGTTGAGCTAACTGTCATTTCAGTTCCATCACTGGAGCTGTAAGGCATCTTCCAATGACTCACAACAGATAAATAAAGTAAATAAAAGGATTGAAATAGGCAGTGTGAGAGAACGTACGAGCTCCTCTGTGATTAACCGGGCGTCACCAACGGGAATGATCTTCCCATCGTGGTTGACGGTTGCCACGGCAATTGAATCCTCGCAAACCTCCGAGGCAACATATTTTTCTACTTTGAAGCCGAGATCCTTCAGCACCAGGTAACCTGAAAGAAAATACCAACAGACACACACAGAGGCTGTGAACGTCTTGACATCAAATATACTGTGGAATCAGAATTAGAGATGTTAGGTTACAGAAGTTTAGAGGAGCAGAAAAGTACTAATGCTAAGAGCACCAAAAAAAACACGTAATGGAAACTCTGTGCTCACCTGTTGCTATGCCATCGAACAGCGAGAGAACTCGGATTGGTCTGCGCAGGTTGGCACGGATGGACGGGTAAACACGGTGCGGCTCCTACAAAGTAAAAAGGTCAAAACTATGTAATAATACTGTTTGTGTGACTCCTCATTAATGGGAACAAATAAAGAAATAAAGAACTTAAAAGATTAAAAGTAAGAGCAATTTGTGTATTTAATCATTTCTTTCAACTAATTTTGTCCCTTATTTGTGACATTTTCTCTAAATTACTGTAAAGTGCATTAAGTTTATATAACATTATATTTTGTCGTGTTTTATATGTATTATATTCTGGGTTAAAGTGTTTAAAAAAGATGAAAGCTGAAACTATTTGTCAATTAATCAATCAGCAGAAAAATTAATCAAATGAATTATAAGTGTCTGCCATAAAGCAAATAAATGTATAGTAATATGTAATCCAACACTGCTAACAGTGTAATTATTACTAAGAATGTAAATCACGCACAGTTGATCCTGATGTTGCGTTAGTAAAGGAATATTTACTCATTTAACGTGTGTAATACTTCAGTTGGTTCAGAGAGCCACAAAACGATTCGTATGGGTTGATCACTCACAAACTCCATGCCGCTGTTGTTGGCGAATAATTCCTGCACACGAATGCTCCAGTCCACTCTGGGAATCAGAGCACCGTGGGGTCGATGGGGCTGACACATGTAGCAGATCCACGGGTCCAACTCCTTCAAGGAATCAAACGTCCCCTGGCCGATGAGGATGTTCAGACAGTCCCCACAATAAGATCTGCAAATGAGGAGGAAGAGGAAAGACGATCCATCAAATGGGGAAAAAATTCTGCCTCTACTTGTTACCTTTCCTTAAAAAGCTAGAATGCAACAGAGGAGTAGATGAAGAGGCCGACCTGCAGCAGCTATCGTTGCCACACAGTATGACCTCCATCCCATAGCAGCAGATGGTACAGTAGGACTGATATCCATCTTCATCATAGCGAAACAGAGTTTCTGTAAAGTTATCCTACAGGAGAGACAGACAGCACCGCCAGGAAAGTTAGCACAGGAGGAGGAAGAAGAACAGTGTTTAATACTTGAGTTCCAGGTTTCACACATTTAAACACACATTCACAGTGTGCTGAGAAACCCTTACTGTTGGTTCACTGCTGCTTGTAAGAGAAAGAGAAGTTGATGATTCCATACTTTACACTTCAAGCAGAGGCTTCCTTTGAATAGAGGGTGGAATATCTCGACGCTTTCAGTCCCGCAACACAAACAGAAGCCTGCAGACACAGACGAGGAACAAACGTGTGAGGAAGTGCTTTACATATAACAGTACGCTTATTATGTACCAGTACTCGTGTAAAAACTGAAGGAGAGATTCACTGGAGTCTTACAGTGCTGTGAGGTGTGATGTGAGTTGTTACGAATAAAAAGGGAACAGATTTAGATTTAGATTTGATTCAGATTTAAAAGAAAATACACTCACCGTCAATGTTGAGTTTCTTGGCCATGATCATCTGGATGGTCTTCTCTGCAAGAAAAGAAACGAAATACGTTTTCATAATTTGCATTATATGTACCATAAAACGGTTATAATGTATTAAAACTATGGGAATAATAAACGCTGTGATCCTTGCAAAAGCAGATATTAAGAACCTATTATTATACTTGACCTTATAAATCATTTTAAAATACTAACTAGTAGTGTAATTAACTATTCATACATTTCAGTAATATTACAGTTAACCCCCCCATAAAGATAATTTGTTACAACTTTCGCCGTTTGTTTTGTTGCTGATTTGAAATCCAACAATCTAAATCACATTGTCCAATCACAACTGAAGATGGAAACACATTCAGCAGCTGGAAATACTCCATTACTTTGATTTTTACGATTTTTACTTTTAATGGTCGTAAAGCTGAATTTTGGGGAGAGCAGGGAGTTATTAGAAAAGTAATAACATTACTTTTGAAAAGAGTAACTATCCGAACACTGTTGAATGAATTATACCCGTTATAAACATTTTTAATGGAACAGTTTACTTTGCATAAATTCCAAGCTGGAAATGAAATCAGCTGCTTTAAGCAGATGACTCACTTCAATATCAAAGGTTTGATCTCATTACGGGCTCCGCAGGGAAAACTGCACCAGCTGGTCTTAAACTAAAACTTAATTAGAACCTATTTATAACGCATGTGTTTACAAAGTGAATATTATCACTTAATTGATTCATGTCTCATCACACAAACTAGTTCCTGCGTAGAGTCGACAGTAAATATTTGTACCTGGTAACTAACTGAGAAAGCTACTTTAAGAGTAAAGGTAATGGGATACAGTCGACATACCTGACCTGAAAATGCTGTTCATAATGTAAACCTAGGATATATTAAATGACATTTCTTATCACAGATCATCTGTGTACGCGTCCGTTTCAGACTAAATTCCAGCTTTTAGTATTGGACTTTAATTTGTTTCACTCAGTTTGGAATTAAAATATTAAAAAGTGTTCAAATTCAAACATTTTAATGATGAACTTCTGTTTGTTACCTCTGAGTGTTTGGTCCGGCTGGGTGTACATGGCGGTCGGCTCATTGATCTTGTTGTAGGATTTGGTGTAGGTCCTCTTCTTGTTCGGCACAAAGTCTGGCGACATGTCGTTATCAAATTCATCAATAAGACCGCTTTTCTTCTTCTGAACCTTCCCGGCTTTCCACCCGGCCTTAGCCTTCCCTTTCCCCTTCTCCCATCTTGCTTCCCAGTAATCTTTCTCTCCCTCCCATCCTCTCTTCCCCTGTTTCCCCATCTCTGCTGCCAATCCTCCTGTGGATTCCTTCTCCTTCGTGACTACTTCAGCGTCTTTTCCCGCGGAATCGACTGCTTCTTCCAACGCAGTCTTTCCACCGCCGTCTTTGTGGGGGGACTTCTCTGTAGAGTTGCACGACAAACTGTTCATGGAGACAGCCACGTCTCTCAGCTCAGAGTTGGCGGTATTGCTCTTGCTGCTCATCGGCTCGGAGGAGTTTACGGAGCGTCGGGGAGATTTGGCTTTCGAGAAGACGCTCTTCCTCGCCATTGGTTTCTGCTTTGTTTTAGTAACACCTGGACAGGAGACAATCATGCATGTGACCATCAGACATATTACACAACAGTAAAGTTACAATCATATGTACAATCTGTAGACAATAAACACTTTGTGAGCTGAAACCAGAACTTGCAATAATACTGAATTACTTAAATTAATCATAGTTTACTTTGTCAAGATCACAACAGGGTTACCTTCTAATAGGATGTGATGGAATGATTTCAGAGCTCTATGATGCATTTAATATACAACAGAAGCTTGGAATCAGATGTTCATACCGTTGACGGCAGCCGTTGTTGTGAGTCTATCTGGCCCCATAGGTTGAAATCCTTCCAAGGCCCAGTCTAACACCTGTTTCAGCAGCCCATCTTTGTCGGTCAGATTTGCAGAAAACTGCTTCTCACAACGTAAAGCTGCTTCCTGATAGACAACAGACACACGCGTAAGCAGGAGGAGGAGAAATATGCATCACCTATCAACACTTTTAAAAGTTCAGGTTAGATTTGTTGATGAGTCCGACATACCGGAACAATTAAGTCCTGTGTAGTTGTAGAGAGAGAGATTTGATTGGAGAGGAGAGAGAGGAAGAGAGAGAGAGGAGAGAGAGAGAGAGAGAAGAGATAGAGAGATGAGAGAAGAAGAGAGAGAGAGAGAGAGAGAGAGAGAACAACAGACCTGCAGGGACAAGAAGATGGCTTGTCTGTAGGTGACGAGGATGGCGAAGGATTTGGGACAGAAGTGCTCAGCGAAGGCAGCGAAAGGTTTCAGAGTCTCCACTGCGACCTGGAATCAGAGCCAAGAAGTCAGTGCAGAGAATGGAAATAAATATATGAGTTTAATATATACAGTAAATAAAATGTGTACTGTCTCTATGTGGATCAAGCATTCACGTACATGCATATTTACTGTAATGTATAAACTTTGTCTGACTCACCTGAGAGGACATTCTCTGTCCGTACCACTCCACCATCTTCATCCCTGGATTCTTTACCTTGCGGGGTATGATGATGCCTGGCCAGAAAGAGAAGCCGTCCAGCTTCCCCCAAACCAGCTCCCCCTTCGTACCCTGTACAACGCACACATACGAACACACAATGTGAGAGCATAAATAATACTGACTGTTTCTAACATTGACTATACAGTGAAATACATCTTTCTGAAAACTTGTCTCCCATAACTGAGACAGTTCCTTTCTGTTTTAATAATAATTAATTAATTTAATAATTAATATATAGGATCTGATCATTATTACCATTATTGATTGATGATTAATCCATTCATTGTTTCGCTTTTAATCATATGCTTCCTGCGTTTAGTTGTTTACTCTGCACTAGACTTTGATTGACAACTTATTAGTTCTACAAGTCTTATTTTTAACCCAACCGAACAGGTTCGGTGTGAAACCACTTTTTGTTTTAAGAATTATCCGAATGAAAATGTTTGAAGAGACAAATACAGCTTTAAAAATAAAAAATAAATTATGTATTTTTTAATATTATCTAGCTGGCTAAACTGAGAATTAAAAGAATTAAAATTGTGTTTAAAATATAATAAATACACTGTATTGATATAGAACGAACCAGTAACACAAATTCATGGTTCTATCACTACGTTAATCTAAACAACATTACAGTCAATCTTACCAGCTGTGGTTCTGAGTAGGTTGGTGTAATTGTTGTAACCATCCCACCATCATCATCATCATCACCAACACCACCATCATCATCGCTTATAATGTATACGGACTCTGCCGTTGGGATCCTTGGCTCTGCAGAACAGTGACAATGAGCTACTGAATCTGCTGCATTACACACTCTGGTTATTTCCTCATGCACATATGAAGGCCCGGCTCGTGTTCACTGCAGACCGGGCCTCAGGTACTATTCACAGCACTGTGAGCCTACAATAAACAATTTAAGATATTATTAATACCCTTAAGAGTAATAATATTACACATTTCTTACTTTCTGCGTTCATCAGTCTACTGGTCCGACACGTTTTGGCCTCTTCGGTGACGTCAACCACATCTGATAAAACAGAACACACATTAGTTTTTATCGTCACCTACATTTGGAACTGCTGTCCACAACAGATTGACTTCATTAGCCAGATTTATGTTAATGAAGCCGCTAACGTACACCTGGCGGTCTTACCCGAGGAATTGTCCGTGTAGTCTGAATCACTCGCACAGTGGTTGTGTCTGGTAGGAACACATCGTCTGTGTCTGACTACAGAATTGTCGCTGTCATCCGTTGTCTCCGAAGTCTCTTCATCCTCCTCTCCTTGGTTCATGCCACCATTACCTGCCCGGACAGGTCGTTTCCTTCTGAACCTCTCTGCTTTAAGTGAGGTTTTGACGGTATTCTGGCTGTCAAAAAGAGTCTTGGTGCTGCTGCACATCTTGAGACAGGAGCAAAACATACACGTAAATCTCTTTATCACGTCACAAAAAGACATAACTAGGAGATGAAAGAAGAACAGCAATGAGGATGTACAGATGTTAAAGCTGTAACTTTTTCTATTAATCTAATCAAAATTCTTATGAAAGAAAGGAGTTGTAAGAAAATGACTTCCAACAAATTATGCCTAAAATCTCTACAAAATTCAACTTGTCATATAAAAAGGATAAAGATGTCAGTTACCTTTAAACAAAACAACCTTTTAACAAAGTCCAGTGTCTAATATTTAGGAGGATCTACTGAAATACTGAAAATGAAATGAAATATTGGCAGAATGTTCATCAGTGTGTTTTCATTAGTGTATAATAACCTGAAAATTAACAATAATATCTATCTGTCTCGTTCCTCACTGCTGTGTATTGATGAATATTTAACCTGTCCAACACCAATCACTGTGGACAAAGTGAGGAAGCGCATATTGGAGGACAAATCCTGATGGTGAAATTTGGTTGGTAAACATAACCAGTCGGCCTCCTGAAAGACGTTTAACATTCACCACTCACCTTATCAAACACCTGCGTACTGTCTAGAGAGTCCGGCAGGGCCAGGAGGATCAGGAGGAACGTACGCAGGATAGAGTGCTGTCTAATGCCACGCAACATCTGTACAAACACAGGGAACTCTTGTAAAGACATCTGATATTCAACATCAGTGTTTACTGAAGCTTACTGAGCTACTGGACTACCACTTTATCTACATGAAGACACCCACCCACCCCCCCCTGTTATTGATCCATCATGTTGACGGTTTACCTTCACCCAGCAGTGACCTCCTCTTCCTTTTTTCTGTTCCTCCTTTAATGTTTTAATGGCGCTGAGGTACTCGTACGCCAGTTGGAGTGCTTCTGGAGTCCCGGTGTTACAGAGACCCAGCTGAACCCCGATCTCTGACAGCACGCATCTGGACAATCCATTTTCCTAAAAGAGAAAACACAGATATCTCAAATACCGATATACAGACGGGTAGGAAAATCTGATCGAATCAAATCAAAGAAAAACGGTTACACACAAACACTGGGGGTTAGTTCCCCTAAAGTGTTACTATTTTGTGAAACAGCCCTTTAAAGTTACACAAGTAAACTGGCAGCAAGAGTTAAGATAAACAACTTGAGCTTTAAAAAGATTATGTGGTGGCATCATCAAACTAAACAGCACACTCATGATTAAAGGAATAGAGTGAGTTAGATGAGACTAATATGAACACTTAGCTTAGCACAAAGGCTGGAAATAGAGATGGATTAGCCTGGTTCTGCCCAACAATAACTCAAACCAGAACCTCTTGAACTCACAAATTAACTTGTTACATCTTCATCTTTATTAAAACTGTACAAAACTATTTCTTGGCTGGGAGTCCAGGAAGTGACTGCCTTGTACTAAGATAAGATACGGATACTGGCGGTCATCAGAGGGACCGGAGAGGACACAAATGTAACGCTGGTAGCGATTTTGAGTCTCAATATCTCCCACAACTATTTAGTTTATTTATTTTAAAATTAAAATCAACCTATTGAAGTCAGCAACATATTAATATGTATTGCTAACAGAAATAAATCTTCTTACATTGATATTTTCAGGATGTTTCAGGACTTTGCGGATATTCCTTAGTGCTGCGTCTCCAAGATACTTGGGCATATTCCTCACTAAACTCTGTAATGCTCCTTTATAGAAGGCCGCGGCGCCCTTCAGGAAGTCACTCCTCTCCTGCTCCCCCAGATCCACAACAGCGGTGGCCCACAGAAAGTCTCTAGCACGAGAACCAATGTTCACTTCGGTTGGGGGGAGCTCGTTGTTGAGGACCTGCACGCTCCGCTTCCTGAGAAAGTGCTCGTGGACGGAGGGCCGGAGGAGACTGGTTGTGTAGGTGTGGACCAGCATGGCGGACAGTTGGAGCTCTGCGGCGACGTCTACTGTGCCGTACTGCTGCCATTCTTGTAGAGCTTGGAGGGGCTCCAAAGCCTGGGAGAGGAACAGGAACTGCAGCTTGATTTTATGATCCATCAGCTGGGCTCTGATCCAGTCAGAGGCTGCAGTCGGCCTCAGTGACTTGAAATAATCCACTAAATCCCTCCAGTTGTTGGCCATCTTCTGCACAATGTTGATGATGAATAAACAATGTCCAGAGACAGGTTTTGACGGGTCATAAGACAGTGAATTGGTAAACAGCTCCTTCAGACTGTCATTAACGGAGGTGCAGGTGGAGTAGTGACAGTGGATGACTCTGATCAGGTCAAGCAGGCCACTAAAGGAAGCCATGAGTCCAGCCTGGCATGCTCTTGCTGCTAGCCCAGGGAGGCCAGAGAGTGTTATTAACCTGGGGCAGCACGTCTGAAGCTGGGATACAAACTTCTGCCTCGCCCATAAGCTTGAAGCGTTACAGTAAAACACAGAAAGGTTGGCCAGAGGCAGCTCAAACTTCTTCAGCGTCTCAATCAGGACTCGTGCATCGCCATCTGCACTGCGCGTGCCTGGGGTAGCGCCGGTGTCCGCGTCCGCCGAGGTTTGCGGATTAACAGTGTCGACGCTCATCCGCAGAGTGTGCAGCAGCCTCACCACACTGACCCCCGAGCTCTGGTCAAAGTAGCCAATCAGAAGGACGCTAGTGGTCTGTCCTCCGCCCAGCTCCACCCCCATGTACAGGTAGAGGCAGTACGGCGTGTGCCGGCAGACCTGAATGATGTCTTTAGGGTGGGTTGGACTCAAGATGGAAGAAACTAAAGGGTCAGAACTCAGAGCGTCAACATTGCCGTCCACATTGCCACTACAGTACTTGTTGATGAACAAAAACAGAGGATCACTGCTACACTCTCGCTCTTCCGTCTTCACCGCTGCTTCGACCGGCTCCACCATGTTTATCTGTTCCTGCTCGAGCTCTTCCATCATCTCCATTTCCATTGGCTCTGCTTTCGGCTCCGTGTTCACAGCCACCTGGGCATCCTCATCCTCAGATATTAATACTATCACACTGGCCTTGGCAAGGGAAGTCTGGGGTCCGCTGCTGGACTTGCTATCCCCGCAACCTGACCCCGGATAAGCGGATGAAGACGGGATGAGATGAGACGAGACTTTGGCCTTCCTGTTCAAAATCTCCTTCACCGTTAGTGTTTTTTGTTTTTTCAGTTCTTCCGTTTTTTTCCCCGCCATCTTCACAATTATCTCTAGTTCCTGATGAGAGGCCTCTGTAATGGGAGTAAAAAAAGACATTTATTAGACATCACTGCAAGACTATTGCAGAAAGAGCCACAATGCTAACACCATTTTGATGAAATATTGACCTGGGGCATGTTTAGGTGTCACGTTATCACAGGGAAAAAATAATTTGCCTTGTGTAACTAATGTAATTCCTATCATGTGAGAACAAAACCACACATTTCTTTAAGAATCATGCCTAAAACAATTTGTGTGACACATATACAACATTTACTATGTAGGATTTTTGTGTAACAACTGCTCCCACCTGATTCAGGAACCATATTCTGTCCACCTCTGGCCTCCAAGGCATGGTACTCCCTGCCGTTGTTGTTCTTTTCAAAGAAAAGCTTGAACCAGTGCAGGAAGGTCACAGCCACTGTAGACTTGTTCTTTATCAGCGTGTCGACGGGGATGTACTGTCAAAAAAAAAAGATGTTTTTATTTACTGTGTTTCTGATGTTTTGAAAAGACTAACATGCTTCTTAAATATCGAAATAAATCACCAAACATTTGCAGAGAAAAAAAAGAAAAGGAGTTTAAGATAATTAATAATTAATAAAAAATAAACATAGAGCAGAAGCAAATACTTTTTATATAGTCAGCGTTACCAAAATATCCGGGATGAGCTTTATTAGTCGGGTTCTTAACTGTACTGAGCAGATTTTAAATGTGACGTTGTTCACCGCTTTTGTTACAATACTCACTCGGAGCACTCCAACTTTTTGGAACGCAGCTTGCAGTAAACTGTAGTTGTGGGTTGCGTCCTCCGTGCTGCTGCTTTGAAACCGGACCTTGGAAAGGTCCAGGGTCCCGGGAAAACACCAGTCCATCAGCTGGCAATAGGCGGCACCTGGATACCAAACAATAAGGGCCAGATTAACTAAGACAAAGGTAATTTACTTGACCCTCAGAAAATGTAGTGATAGTAATTCCAAAACATTAACTGCAGCCTTCGATCGTGTACTCATAAAACCATAATAGTACAGACTTTAGGTTTAATTAAAAACTGTGTAAAGCATAAACTCAAGATTGTCTGTTGAGGTTTCATTGTGACCTACCTGAGCACAGCTGCTCCAACTTGGTGAAGCGTGTCTGTAAAGTGTAATTGAGCCAAGCCAGCAGCTCATAGCGGTTTGGTGGACACGAAGACAGAACTACATTCACTGCCACATTCATCATTTCCTCTCTCCTAAAGGGATGGACCTGCACAAACACCAAGGTAAACATTACAGGAGAGTCACACAAACACAAACACTGATCCACTACTGAACAAATCAACAAATTTGTCATAGAAGTGGTATTGCTGAACATGTCAACAACAATAATAATAATAATAATAGTGTTAAAATGTAAGGAAGCGTTTAGTGCACATTGTGTTTTTAAAACAATTTGACTTCCAGGCTTTTGTCATGGACTACTAACAGCACAGAAACCAGATCTAGCTGTCTCACAAAACAACAAACAGCTCTACTTACATTTCAAAACCGTGTCTCCAACTTTAACCTACTACACAATCAAGTCACATAAAACTGCGATGTTGTTAAATTATAAACAGTTAGCTAAAGATAATGTTGTATGGATTGTTTTATTTCTACACAGGCTCGCAAAGACGACTATTGGGGCTTTTTCTGCAAAAATGCTGCATTCAGGTTGCCTCAAAATGCCGTTTATCTCAGCTTCAAAAGAGGAAAAACAAGCTAATGAACTCGGGTTTTGGCGATGTCGATGTATTTGACTCCCTTTAGTCATAATTCAAGTTGCACATGTGTTAAGAATGAGATTAAATAGCCAATTGATTGATTTCCGCTCAGATTCTTTGAAAATGACCAGGACAGCAACTACTTATCATTTATAATGGACAATATAATGTTCCCCTTGCTGGTAAACAACACCAGTAAGCAAAGAGAGTATGAAACAAATTTAACAACTGCGTTTCCAAATTAGGGTATGTAAATGAATCAACTTTTTTTTTTACGATGCTCGTTTTTACTGTGTGTAATTGAATGCAACCACACGTTAGTCTCTACACCAATCAGATTAGAGCGGGTATGCTCCTGACCAATAGAAATCCATGGAACCAGCGCCGAGGAGTTCTAGAACGTACAGCAACTGATACTGGGTCAGGTTGTACCCTGGTGTCTCAGTGACGCCCAAAAAGCCCCGCCCCCAAAAAACCGAGCTCAGATCAGCTGTAAACAGTAACAACTGACCGAAAGGGAACTTCTCACACCGTAAAGTAATAGGCGAACCCCGATCTTCAGTTGAAAGCGGCAGCGTCTAAACAATGCGCCGTAAAACAATGAACCCAGAAATCTACATTACCTAACTATGCGCTAGCCTTGACAGCTAGCTAAAGTTTAACATAAAATATAACATGACGTGCACGCGAGTTTCATAATGTTATAAATTATTCTTTGACTTCATGTAAAAAAAAAAAAAAAAACGTATCGACGCAAACGTTCGTCGCGACTCGGATCAAGCAACAAGAGTTAACCGTTTATATAAAACTTCGTCACACGCCGACGGAAGCTGGTTAGCTTACATAAAACTCCTTCCATTTCGCTAATCGACTGTATTGAGTGAACGAGTTTAGCTCAACCTGCGATAGATGAAACGAGTAGCTAACATTCGCCGGTGCGGCTAACGCTAAAACGACGCTAAGAACGCGAGCCAACGTTCTATGGAAGCACTCCAACGTTCTTTAGAACATGGCGGAATTCGAACGAGACTCGCGTAAGTTGCGTTTAACGGCCCTCGTGTTCCAGAAGTAACGCTCAGTGGGAGTTGGATTTTTTCATTATTTTTTTTTAGCATTGAGCGCACATCTTTCAAAAATATATTCGTTACGCGGTGGAGGAAACACCGTGCACTCACCCTCTCGGTTGTGGTCCTTGTGGGTGTCAGTCGACAGTTTGTCCAGCCCACCTCTGCCCCCCCCCCAACACTTTCTCCTGGCTAACGTTACCGCGCCGCTTATTCTGTATTTATTTTTTTTTAATCGGTCGTTGGCAACGTATTGTATAAAAAAAAGTAGAAATATAACGAAATTATAAGTATGCGCTCATCGATCTGATAGTGATCAGAAAATTACGTCACGTAACAGCTAACGTATATAGTTAACTAACTGATAGTGTGAATGTTTTCGTTCTGTGTTAGCACGCTGAGCTAAGTCGGCTAAGGTTAGCAAGACTTCCTGTGTCTAGCTAAACTTTAGCTTACTCAACTTTAGCTAAGCTAACGTTAGCTTTTCTGAAGGTAATACCGCCGTAATATATACTGTCGGTGGTTAATACGTTAGCCGGAGCTAAGGCTTCAGTTAAACATTTAAGTAATAATTACAGTGTTTAATTGTAGTATTTTTAATTTAAAATTAGTCGAGAACTTAAAGTTATGCCTCATCAACCCAACACACATAAAAACTTGCTATGCCAGTGATTCATAACGTTTTTCATCCTGAAATTGGCTAATTTATTTATTTTAAAGTTGGTTTGTTCTGCTTGAGCTTCACCATTTATAGACTACTTACAATAACATTGTCTATCAAATAATGTTGGTATCACTGGTAGGCCTTGGGTACTCCTGTGACATATCTCCGATTTTCTTTTGTGGGGTACCACAGGGCTCTGTACCAAGACCACTGTTTGTTTTTGTAGTTGTCTCAGTTCTTCCACATTAGAACATTAAAAAACACTAGTCCAAAGTGCAGGCATGATGATTTTGTAATTTTGAAACCAAACATTTGAACACAGTATGTCCTCACCCCAAGGACTTCATTCATTTTATATTACATGCCATATTTCATATTGTTAAAGTTTTCATCAACAGGTACTGTTATCTGGAAAAACTCTTCAGATATCAAGGTTTAACTTTGTTCACTCTAATTGTAATAAATGTATAACTGGTTGTATGTTTTGATATTTTGTTTTTACTTCACTTGTGATTTTTGCAATATATTTTACATTATTATTTACTGTTGGATTTTTTTGTGTTAATTATTTGTAAAGAGTACTGAAAACAGTTTTAGATAAATGTACCTGTTAGATGTACACTGTATACAGTCTATAGTAAATATAATATATCTATAAATCTGTAGAGCAGAAGGTAGAGAAAGCTGTTGAAAATACAAATTTTTAGATAGATAGATAGATATTTTATTTATCCCCAGGGAAATTCAAGAATCCAGTAGCACACAAAACATACAAACAAAAATCTTACCTTTATCAGCAAGTAGCCATTACATCTAATTGGATATAAATTCAAACTTTTTCCAGAGGCGAATTAAAATATGTGCTGAGAGAGAAAATGAAACAGAAAAATAGAAATGAACACATGCAGTTAACATTAAGTGTTTACGCAGGTTAATGTAAACTATGTGCAATTAAAGTGTGAGCGCTGGTCGACCAATGGACATGAAGTCACAGGCAGTTTGAGCAAGGTAGGCCAGGATGGAGTCGCGCATCGTATGCTATTGGTGCGCTCCCTCGCTTTTACTGGAGGGCTGTCTGTACAGCTCTTGGGATGGGCCAGGGGGGAAGGAAAAGAGTTGTTCAGTCTGTTGGTGGAGCCTGCGGATTGGGACAGCAAGTGCTGGGGCCCACTGAAACACCACTCCTTCCTGGTGAAGGTGTTGTGCAGGGAGGGTGGGTGGGTGCTTTCCAGTATGGGACAGCGAGTTTGTCCAGGGCCCTTCTCTCGTGCCCACTGTCACCAGAGGCGGGAGTCCAGGCTCTGTGCGCCCAGACCACTGGAGCCAGTCTCCCACCAGGTGCGTGTCCAGCGGTCGACCGGCGTCGTTCTTCTTCGCCTTGCCTGCCTTCCTCCCCAGCAAACCACAGCCATAAAAAAGGACGCTGGCCACCCACAACTGTAAAACATCTGCCAGCAGTTTTGTACAGGATGTTGAAGGGCACCCTATTCTGGTGCAGAGTATTCATATGTTTTGCTGTCCAGTCCAGCCTGTCATCCAGCTGCACTGCAGCCCCAGATATTTATAAGTTCTGATGAATACAGTGAAGTACTACTAAAACATGTAATAGCCTAGTTGAAAAGAAAAATGCCAATATTGATAAATACTGATAGAAAGCTGTTAAATGTAAAATTACCACTATTTTTTAAATCACTATGAATGAGCTATGTGATTGTCATTATTACATTTACATGTACAGTTTAGTTTTATAGTCATACGCTACTCAGAATATTTTGCACACCACTTTACTACATATTGCATATAGAGTATATATTTTTCATTATAGTCTTATATTTTCTGTTATATTTGGTAATATTCTTATTTTGTGATTCTTCATTGTACTTTTACACTACTGTACTTTATGCACTACATTCCCCAATGCTGCTGTGTCTGACTTCAATTTCTCCTACAGGGGATCAATAAAGGAATATCTTATCTATTGGAGTCATTAAAAAATAATAAGTGGATTAACCAGTAATAACAGTGATCAGCACTTACAACCTCATTGACCTTCACCTTCACCCATGAGAGGAATAATCAAACAAAAGATAAAAGCACAAATTAATTGGAATTTGACACAAGGACACACAACTGTTGTTTTTCAGCAGCCAAGCTGCGTTTTATTGAGTAAAAATTATATATAGGTTGCTATAAGAAGTACACAAACATTTCCACTAATAATTCAAAAGTATAAAAATAGCACAGAATCTGTTCTTTTTAAATGTGTTTGCACTTAAGGTTCATGAAAAAGCCAAAGCAAAAATCCACAAATGTGATTCTGATAAAAGTTAAAGAACAAAAAGGTTATAGTTTAAAAAAAGGAAACTTAACATCATTCACACTCGAGCCTACAAATACACATACAAATGAACTGCATCTAAATAACACAAGATATTAAAAAGCTATTGATTAATATGCTCTATATTATACTGTAACATTACGAATTTCAAGCAAGCTTTATACTGTGTTAATATTATACGTATGTTCTCAATATAAAAAGTTTTAAAAGACCAGTTACACAAAGAAAAGAAAAAACTCTAGATTTTTTTTGCGTACTGTTTTCAAGCTTAAAACATTCAACAAGTTCAGCAGTATTAATGAAGCATGTAAACAAATACTTTTTGGTTTTTTTAAAGGAGATTACACTAGAAAAAGGTTCCTGATGGCACTTTGAGGGGCCCTTTGAGCACCATAAAGGAGTCCTAACATTTCTAAATGAACTTTCACCATTAAAGAAACAGTTCTTTAAGAAGGCTTGTGCATTTTGTGTTAAAAATATAATGTAGTTCTTGAGAGTTAAAACACTTGTAAACCTTTCTATCGATACAGTACGCAAAACATTGTGTAAAAAAAGTTCCAGTGATAAAATACAAGCTATATATATATACAGGGCATATGGGAGCAAAAAGCTACAGTATATATTCACAGAACAGAGATCCTACAGGAGGAGAGTTGCCCCCTTTGTCTGAGGTAATGCCCGTTCAGTATGATTTTGGTGACAGCATTTTAAAAAATCATCCAGTTATCAAAATAAAATTTAAAAAAAAAGGACTGCACAGAGTTTTTGTGAGTTTGGTCATATCCAGTAAATGACTGTCTGATGAACATGCTAATGCTAATATACAGTATGATGTTATTGTAGGCTAAACGCCTTCTATCCAATTCATTAAAGATTCAGAAATGGTGCCGACTTACAGTCTTTTATCATTATTAAGGAGTATTATTCTTTATTATGTATGTGCGCCACACACTACACATTCACACATTGTGGACTATAATTATTTAAACATACTGTATACCAAAGCATGTGCACCACACGTAACAAAGCACCTCATGGCTTCATGTCAAGTCCCTTTAACAGATTTTGTTCTTTTGGAAACTGAAAAAAAAAAAAAAACTCCTTTAAACAAAAAGTAGTCAGTGCTAGTTGCGTGTTCACCAGTGTTTTCCCACCATTGTTTCTGTTGCTGTAAAAACCACATTTACACACAGTGACACTTTTTCCTGGATTCAAAGGAACTTCTTCTAAAACCAGGATCTCCCACATCTGGCATCCAGCCATTTACAGTAAACTAATTTTATTTTTAAGCTCTAAAAATCTAAACAGTACGATAAATGCCCTTTAATTCTTAGCTGTCAGAAATGGTTGGCAAAAAGACAAGAACCCTATTCTCTATATCTCTGTTTTTTTGTTTTGTTTTTCTTACATTGGCTTGTTTCAAGTATTTGTATGTAGCTATCAGGGAGACGCCATCGTGACATCATAACGTAAAGGTCAACGTTTAACACTATCTACACAAAAACATCTTTATATAATCTTTAATAAAAGTTTTTTTTTCTTTTTTAAAGAAGCTATTTTGCTCGTACGAACTCATTTCAAAGACAAAAAGTAAAAAATAGTTTTTCTTTTCTTTACGACAAACCATAAAAAACTATGAATATGAACTAAATATAAACCCAGAATCCTGCTTCAGTTCCAGGTTCAGCTCGTGGTCCACTTGCCTCCATTGTTGAATGTATTTCCCCACAGAGGGCTTCTTTCATTGGTCTGCTGAGACACAAGGATTTTCCTTCTGTATTTGAATCTAAATATCTATATTCAAAAATTTTAATAAAGATAAAAGGCTGAATCTTTTGTTGACAATGAACAACTACAGCTCCCACAAGGCTTTCACCACTTTCTGTGTGGCTTAGACTCATGGGATGTGTTGTTGTTGTTGAATGCAAACAACATAATAGTTGTTTTATCTGGGTTCAAATGAACAGTCCAGTACTGTTGTAGATGTTATAGGAACCACTGAATCATGTTTGAGCGTTTCTAGACAGACCAATGAAACAAAGACGAGACGAGTGGAACAGCAGGTAGCCCAAAAAAGGGAGCAGGACTTCATCTGTCCATCTTGTGACTTTGGTTCAAGTGAGTTTTTTTGTTTGTTTTAGATTAACAGCCTGTATTGGCAGCCTGCTCATCACACACGTTAATCATCCGTTAAATGGAGGGATGAGCGACCTCTGAAATGTTTAACACTTCCTAAAAAAAATAAAAATAAAAGTCTGACACGCAGCCACTTAAAAAGTTGTACCATTGGGTGCCATGTTGTTCTCTATTTTCTACAACTAATAAGTGTTGTCAACTTAAAAACCTTCCAAGGGAATTAAAAACGTCCTATTAAAATCACTGTACGGGTCTAATGTTAATAAACAAAGCAAAAGGTTTTCTCATTTTTCCCTTTTAACTCAGCTGAACCTCCTGAGAGTCGGCGCACCCTGCCGGCCTCCACCTTTAAACTTACAGTCAGGTGATACTGACTGGCTGCACACCTGACCTTTGACCCTCCCTCTCTCTCTTCCTGACTCTATGGGGTAGTGATAAACCACAGCCAAGGTGCTCACCTGTGCTGTATTTGTGTATCTTTGTGTTAGTGTGTGTTATGTTTGACTAAGTCTGCAGTGCATTATCACCCGGATCCAGAAAGGGCTGGACACAAACAAACAGCTACTTTCACTATCTCCCAGCTACACACATCTTTAGTGACTCTGGCTATTTGCCTGCCAAAGTGGAGAAAAACCTCCAGCGGATGATGTCTGTCTGAGCCAGTATCACAGTAGAGAAGCTGGTGTTTTTATTCATAAGAGTTGTCTGTTTCCCGGCGGCGGCTGGTGCCTATTCACAGGCGAAGTAGTCTTTCAGCGGCGCGAACAGATGCCTGATGACCGGGACGCTCCAGGCCCGGCCCAGGAGCTTCTGCCTGGCACCGCGACCCATGTTGGACACGTCTGTGTAGTGGACAGGGAAGCCAAAGATCCTGCAGGGTATAAGAAACACACAACCACCATTACAGTCGGAAGAATTCAAGCTTTAAGTTCAAGCAAGGATTTTGATTTAATTCTGTATCATCAGCTTAAATCTAAGTGTTCCTTCCTTCACGGACACTACGTCCATTTTTAATGATACAGTCTATGATATGTGTGTGTTTCCTGCTCACCTCTCCAGCTCAGTGCACCACAGTATGTCCTCCTTCCCGTTCATCAGGACAGGGAAGTGTTGATCCTTCCCTTGTTTGATGGAGTTGGAGCGGGTAGTGATGGTGCGCACCTTTCCAAACTATAAAAAAACAAACATGCGGTCAAAAAAGTGCAATTTTGCAAGTAAGAAACTGTGAAGCATACATATATGTTTAATTGTGTGTTCTGTAGGTATCAAACCTTTGCAACTCTGCCGTGCTCCAGACAGTCCTGCAGCTCCAGTTTGTCCATCCCGGATGCACAAAGAGGCCTAGAACAGGGAGGACTAACTACATTTAGTCTCATATAGTGGTTATATATAAATTTCATAGTTCCACAAAGTAATCAATATTTTGATGATTTAGCAATTTATTTATTTATTTTTATGTAAAAACGTTTCAGATTTTTTTGTCCTACCTGTTCATGCCCGGCAGGTTTCCCCAGAAGTATCGGGCACGATGAGCAGCAGAGACCTCGATAGCGTCAATCATCACAGGGTTACACTGCCAAACAAACACACAGTTATTACCTTGAAAATTATTCTCAGGCACATTTCTGCTTTTTAAACATTCTTTCTCAATAGTTGTAGGGGTTTAGGGGTCTTCTCGTTCCACATGAAACAAAGTGAGAATGATCTTTCATTCACAGACGTCTGCTATTTACAGCTGTTCACACTCTACACTCGATGTAACTCACTTCCAGGAATCGCGAGATGTCCCTCTTGTCATTGACGCCCATGGCGACCACATTCTCGAACATCCAGAAGAACGGCCGGTCCTCTCCTTCTTTGGGCTTGGCCTCGCTCAGCAGACGGTAAAACTCAAAGAACAACCTCCCTGTGCCTTCTGAAATGGCAAAACACCATCAGAAAAAAACAAGAAAACAGAATTTAGTTTAGGAATATAAAAACTCAAGATGACACTTTAATGATGAAATCTCCCAATACTCTATTTATATTTACCACTGACCATTTTATATCACAAAAATAAAAGCATTGAGTATTTTGCTATGAATGAAAATGAAAGAAAGCATTTAGACAATTGTGGGAAACCTTAGAATTTAATGTATCCATTCACTGCTTAATTTTTTTTGTTTCTTTTTTGTTATCTGTTATTGTATTTTATATATATTTTTATATATTATTATATTTATATTATGGTAGTTATGTCATGAGTTTATATGTGTGTTGTGTTATCTCTTTTATTCTTTTTTTTTGTTTAATGTTATTGTATTATATATATGATATTAGATTTATTAAATAATTTGTAGGACGGACCCCCACCATTAAGAGGCGCTGTTGCCTGCAGCGGTTGGACGCCGATTGACAAGGTCGTTGCAGGGACTTCCTCCTATCACCAGGTCAAAAGGACCCCACTCCAGAAGCTGAGAGACAGAAACAGCACCACCATGTGTTAGACTGAGGGAGTTACAACAAAATCACACTGGAGCAGAAGTTCATGGAGTGAGATTTTTTTTATTTTGTATGTATTTAGAGCAACATTACGTAGAGAACAGAGAGATTTTATGATAAATAATCACCCAGTGCTCATGTTGGATAAACTTTATATGTATGCAGATGTTTCTTTCAAGAGTCATTTAATGATGAAGATAAACTTTTTTTTTTTTTGTATTTCCTGAATTGTATGGGAAAATAAGGAAACGTCATTAGGGCTGCAACAAACTATTATTTTAATTTATTGTTCTGTTGTTTTTTTGACCATGAAATGTTTAATAATGGTACAAACTGTCCATCACAACTTTACAAAGCCAAAGTCGATGTTTTCAGATTGCATGTTTTCTCCGACCAACCGTCCAAAAACCCAAAATATTCAGTTTAATATCATAAAAAACTAAGAAAACCAGCAAATATTCATATTTAAGAAGCTTGAACAAACATTTTAAAAATGACTAATTATTATTATATAAACAAAATAATTGATTTGATTTTCTGTTGATTGAGGAATCGATTAATCATAACTGTAATATTATTCATTTAGTCAGCAACAAGACTGCTAATTTAACCCACCACCTAAACTCTAACATCTGCTCGCCCCTTTGTTCTCTTTCACCCTTTCACATACAAACCCTTCCTTTCCCCATACACCAGAGTCCTTTTACAGAGGACAATGGAGGAAGAGAGAGGAATGAAAGACATAGGAATAAAGGAAAAAGAGAGAAAGAGAATGGGAGGTGAAGGTGGAGGTGGGGTGCTCTTAATCTATTACATAACAGCTAATAGAGAGGAGGGCCGTGAACCACACACCAACACACAAACACACACACAGTGAAAGGGTTTCTGAGGGGATTTACAGAGGTTGAAGCTGCTCTTTGTCCTCTGCCCTCAACCACGTCACTGCGGCCTCCGTCTGTGTCATCATGTTTAAAATACACCAGTTAAATTGATACTGCTCTCATGTCTAGCCTAGCTTAGCATAGCATCTGTATGTAAACATTAGTGGTCGACCAGTGTGGGGTTTTTTTAATGGCTGATGCTGATATTTAGAGAGCAGGGTAGCAAAACAAAGAAAAGTCATGATAAATCTATTATTCAATGCATGTTACAGTATTATATACATGGTTATATTAGCCAGTAACATGTTGTTTTATATGGAATTGTTATTAATAAATACATTGGTTTATGCTGTAGATTGGTACAGTAATGTCAATTAACTGCATTATTCTATACATTATAATATAATACATATTTAATACTAGCCAGTAACTGTTTTAGATTAGATTTTCTGTCAGTTAGGATGACAGAAAGGTGTTAATACTCTAAGATGATGGTTATGGAGGACATTTTTACAGCAGGATGCAAGAGTGTTACAGGACAGGGCTCGACTTTTTCCGTGGATAAACTGTTGTTTGTCACAAAATAAAACCATATATTGTTCTTCTTACGTTTCTGTTTGTGTATGAATTAAACAAACAAGATGTAACTCATTAATTAGTGAGTTAGAGATGCTGCCAGGCTTATCATCTAATTGCCTCCTGGCTCTAACTCCAAACTCAACACACAGTCATGACAGTGGGATCAATATACTCATCTTGCAACATATTCCCTTAAATAGTTATCTATCTATATTCTGTAACTATTTTGTCCCATTTCTCTGTGAAACTGCGAACAAAAGTCTGCCTGTCTGCTGACACACGACTGCTGACGGTGTTTGATTTATGTCCCGACACCTGAGCACCTTTCAAAGGCAACAACCCCTCAGACCTAATTTGTTGTGACATATGAGAGTCACTGTATACATACATGCAATACATATTAGTGACAAATTAATAAGCAATCAAAGCCGTACACACAAACTCTTTTGTTGACGCACATGTCGGTACATGAAGTTCCTCACCCCAATCTTCATTTTTTTTAAACCTGGTTTGGTTGGTTTGAGTATCAACCTCAATCACTTTACACTTTTAAATTTGATGAAACCTCCTACACGAGCCTCAGCACGCTGCTTAACAAAAGTTTTAACAAATGCATTACAAGGAACTTTAAACCAACTAATGATTGATGTTTGTCTGAGAGCCCGAGCACACAGCGGAGACAGACCTTCTGACATTCATGTGGATCAGCAACCAAACCCCAATTTAAACCTATAACGTCTTCATAAAATTTTTCTTCCTTACGTTTTTCTTAGTGATGTCCCTGACATCATGGACGTACTGGATCTTTCCTTCATGTCTGACAACACCCACTGAGATGGAGTCCTCGCACACCTCTGACGCCACGTACTGGTCCACCTTGAAACCCAGGTCCCGTAGAACCAGGTAGCCTGGAAATACACACACACACAGACAGACACACAGTTTGTATGAAGACCTGCTGTGTTACATCAGTACGAACACAATCACACACTGTCTGCCTCTAATTGTACACACACACACACACACACTCGTCCTCACCAGTGGCAATGCCGTCAAACAGGGAGAGGACTCTGATTGGTCGTCTCTGCTCTGCAGGGACTGCTGGGTAAATCTTTGGTGCTTCCTGGAAGATAAACAGAAGAATAGACCTTTTAGGCCTTCCTATCCAGACAGAATATTATTATTATTATTATCATTATTATTATCAGAGGATTTAAAGCTTCATTCTTTCTGAAGGAATATGAACAGTCTCTGTCAGTGATGAAGAACGATCGTCTGCTCACTACATTACATAAACACAAAACAACAATAAAACATTTTGTTATCTTCATTACTGGAAGACTGGAATCTTACATTAGGATGCAATCCATTAAAGTTTCCTCACAAATAAATAAAAAACATTCAATCTACATAAACTTCTCACTCGCTGTTCGATACATTTTTATACAAATATTGAGCTTTTAAAGTCTGGAGTTTATTGCAGTGCTGCTGTGCTAGATCACATTACATTGTGTTGTTTTTATTCGTTGACTTCCTGCTGATGTTACCTGACCCAGCTTGTTCCTGGCAAGTCTGGCTTTAGGCCTATGATCACAGCAACAATTCTGCTGAAAATTGATTGTATTTGATTCAAAGAAGACAGCGATTAAGGGAGATAAAATATATACAAAATATAAAAGATATAGTGCAGTTTCTTTTTGGCTTTTAACCCTGTAAAGTGAAGCAATTCCTGCTAAAATCTTTGAGTTGCTCGTAGTTCAACCACAGAATAATGTTACCTTTTTAGATTTATAATTTGTAGAGGCCAGAGGAAGTATTTTACGTCAATATTGGAAGGAAGGACATGAGCCCAGGCTACTAACCACTGACACAGACAACAAAAATACACTTACACATACAGATATATAGACATTGTTGCTGCTATTGTAAACTGTTATTGATTCTAATATACCTGTTTGCCCACACAGATCATTCATCTTGTGTCAGATCTTATATAAAACATCTCAAAAAGAACAAAGCGACTCACAAACTCCTGTCCGTTGTCGTTGGCGAAGAACTCCTGCAGCTTGAGGCTCCAGTCGTGCCGCCGCTTCAGGACGCCGTACTGCAGCATCGGCTGGCACATGTAGCATCGCCACGGGTCCAGATGCCGGGCGCTGTTAGACGCTCCGGGGTCAACGAGGATGTCCAGACAGTCTACGCAGAAACACCTGGAGGAGGAGGAAAGAGAGGGGGGTGAATGGACAGATAAAACACGTCGGTGGAGAAGGAGTAGTTACTGTATCATGCGTGCATGTCGGACCTGCAGCAGTTGGCGTTGCCGCAGAGCAGAACCTCTCGACCGCCGCAGCAGACGGTGCAGTAGGACTGGTAGCCGTCGTCATCGTACATGTAGGATATCTCAAGGTACACGTCCTGGAAACACACACACAGATTTATTAACATGACTTCACATGTCTGTCTCTACTGAATTTACTGATTAACATCTAAATCAGGAGGAGGAGGACTATAAACTCAATAGTATTGTTATTAAGGCTGGTTACTACGATTGCAAGTCCACTGTTTTTAAAATCCCATGTTATGAAATGTAATGATTTGGTATATAATAAAATAATGATAATGATGATTTGACAGATGTTTGTTGGGTTTTAAAGGAGATTTATTTCTATTGTTGGGGTTCAATTATGGAACAATTCTAATATTAATCTAAAGATGTGTAACTTGCTTTTGGCTTATGAGGCTTTTTTACAAATCTTTTTTAATATTACATTTCTGTAGGATGTAGCTATAATTCATAAGAATGTAGAATAGACATATATAAACTTTTTGCTTCTGTCTGTGCCTTTTCAGTCACTTCTTAATGTGTATTAATGTGATACTGTTTATACTTATTGCATTGTGTGTGATGGCTGAATAAAACTTACTACCTTTGGGCATTTCTTTTCTTGTGTGTCTCTTTGTGCTGTTAATAAGCATGTATACTTGTGAACACACCTACAGTGTGCACAAAGTGTTCTAGTTTATTCTGTGTATTTATTTGGAAGTCACATTAGCAGCCCTCCCAGTCTTGAGCAGACAGTTTAACGAGACTGGTTTAATGGCTTCTATCAAACGTTGGCCAATTGAAGCAGGCTAATGTGTGTGTGCGGTGGGAAAATGATTCTGGGTTGAACAGGTTTGTTTTTGGTATGTAGTTACTGATAATCTCATTTTATTATCATCACTAGCAGCCTGTTGGAAACCTAAACCTTTAGCCTGTATGCATATGAATGTAGAAAGATTTCATCATTCTGACACAGAGATTATTATTATCAGAAAGCATTGTTTGTTGCCCTACCTTGCATGTTTGGCACAGGCCTCCTTCAAACAGCGGGTGAAAGGTTGCTGCTCTCATCTTTCCACAAGAGAGACAGAACTCTGCCAAAACAAACACAGACACAGTTCATCAGTCTACAGCTGGAAACTGAAAATGAAATCACAAATCAATCATTAGTCCCCCCAAAACAGACAGAAAACGGTAGGAGTCTTTACCTTCTATACTTCTTTTATTCTTCAGAACTTCATTCACCATTTGTTCTGAGGTAAAGGGAAAGAAAAATGCTAGAGAGCATGAAAATACTGAACCGTTAGCTTCATATTCACCTGCATAATTTGTGCAAACGCATGTATTTATTAAATGTGAAGCTCAAATGAATAATGTAAAATAAATACTACAGTACACTCTAATGTTAACAGAAAGCAGGGCAACTAAAACCTGCATATCTCTACCTACTATGCCTTTAATTAATACGATTTTCTCTATCTCTAAGATCTGATCCTCTGTGAACAACATAAAACTGTCCAATTATATTCTATAAAAACTATAGAATATAGCAATAGTCTAAGATAAAACAGACAAAAAGATAAAACTTAACCTTCAGTACCAGTAGGCAAGATTAAAGACACCATATTTCCATTGTATATATCCCATGAGTTTGACTTTTGACCTCTACCTCTGCTGTAGGACTCTTCGGGAATGGCCTTGTTCTTACAGAGGCTGACTCTGGGCCGCTTCGCACTGGGGAAATACTCTGGCAGCGACACATCCAGGACTTGGTGGTCCAGCGGGTTACTCTCTGCAGGGAGACACAGACACTCTTATTATCTCCTGGCTAAAAAGGCAAACTTGGATGCCCAGCTTGTCTCTGGTCCTGCTGCCTAGCTCACCAGCGGTTTGTGTAGGTTTCAGTCCCTCCTTTCCTTTGGGCATGAAGCCGCCGTTGGCCCAGTCTAGCATGGGTTTGACCTGGTCTTCTGGATTGTCGGACTCGCAGGGAGAAAACTTCTTCTCCGCCCGGAAACTGGCCATCTGTGAGACAAAGATGAAATACACGATGTGATATAAAGTACAAAGTCACATGGTGGCGGTTTTACGTGAAACAAAGGCTCATTAAGCAGCGATAGGTGGGAGACGCACTCAGATCCTTTACTTAAGCCAAAGTTAAAATACTTATGGGCCTTAAGTCCAGATTTTGTGGAAGAATTGAACGAATGACCCCGTAATGCTGTTTTATTTTTACATTATTTCCTCTCAAGGACTTGTAGACGGCAAAGGGAATAAAACTGCTATTGTTCTGACTTTAGTTTATCAATGTCAACTGCTACCCCCCAAAAAATACTCCATTACAATTGCATTTAAAATCTAACTTGAGTAAAGTATTATTAGCAAAATGTACTGATAGCATCAACAATAAAAAGACACCCAGTATGCAGCAGTGTCATCCTGCCTGAAAGTGCTTCGTTGTTCTCTCCACGAAGCTGTAAAAGGATGAGACTGAGTAGATAGCGAGGAGGAATCCCTTTCAGACACACATCTGTGTTTGTTTTACTTGGCTACTGGTACACACACACACCTACACACCTACACACATACATACACACATACACTGAAGTGTAAACAGGCATAAATGCACTTCCAGTGAACCAGTGTCTTCTTGGAAGGGAAACCATGCAGTGTGTTTTTACGGTGGACCTCAGATCTAACACCTGACACCTCCCCAAACACACACACACACGTGCACACACACACACACACACATCCAAAACCCACATTTATAATGCACTGGATCGCATGAAAAATACAGCAAACATCTCAGTCGTATGTGTGTGTTGCTACTTTCAATCATTTACCTTTAGATTATCCTAATGCAAACAACCATTAAGTAGTTCAGTTCAATTTATATCACAACAGTCACTGAGGTCGTAACCGCTGTCAGAACCTGTTATTCCTAACCTGAGATCATTTATCCAAAATCCTTATCTAAAAGGTTTCTTTTCTTCTTGAGTTGAGATGACAAATGGTTGTCAAATTCTGAAATTCTAAATTATCACTCAAACGAATCACAGTGTCAACACTTCAGTGTAAATGGAGACACCTTCACGGAAGATAAGTGAGGGCAAACTAGCTCCGCCCTGCGAATAAAAACAGAAGTAATGTGAAAATGTTGTGTTTTTTTTAAACACCTTTATCACCTGACTGCAGATGGTTTCATCAAATATGACTAACGCTAACGGCCTCTACACCCACAAACGACATCCGCTTACACCCAGCATTTCTCAATTACATCCCGGAGAAAACTATGCTTTGTGGGTTGATGCATACCTCCAGTGCTTGGAAGATGGCTCTGCGGTAGGAAGCCAGCTTGGTGTAGGAAGCCTGGCTGAAGAACTTGGGGAAGGCAGTGATGGAGTCCAGTTTGTCTGCTGAAACCTGGAGAGAAATACAACCATTACTTTACTTCATTTATTTATTTCATATATTTAAGAGATACCATTTAATTTCCCCACATATAAATATAAGTGTGTGTGGCACGTGCTCTCCGCCCCTACTCCGGTCCGTTAGTTTCAATTCCTTTCCTTGCTCACCTCAGAGAACTTGCCGTCTCCAAACCACTGCAGCCACCTCATGCCGTGGCTGGCCTGCCGTTTGCCAGTTGCGCGCCACGTCACCACGATACCGGGCCACCAGGAGAAGCCCTTGATCTTCCCCCACACCAGCTCGCCGATGCCAAAACCCTTGTTGTCCTGGATGGAGGAGAGAGAGAGGGTTAGGATGAGTTCACGGTCATGTGCTTGGTAGTGCTTTACCAATTCAAAAACATTTCTTGTTGTTTCTGAACTACAGAAAGAGGAAGAGAGAAGAAAATGTTTGATTTAATGTGATGTTGAGACATCTTTGGAGGTGTAGAGAAGAGGGGGCAGAGGGCAGAAAAGTGGAATTTAAGAGTCAAATTACTGGTTTGACATTTTTCTTTCCCTGATACTACAGGTGTGGAGAACCAAGGAGAGAAATATCTTCTTGTCTCACTGTCTTGATGAATAGAGAAGGTAATATCAGTGATGGCAGAGGAGAGGAGGAATGAAGATAACGGAAAGAAAGTTAGATTGATCATTTGAAATCTGTTACAATATCCATGTTACGCAAAAGCTGGAAAACCCCCTACTACAGTTATAGTAAAGAAACAGACGATAGAGGAAAAAGAGAAAAGAATCTGGAAAATGAAAACAATAGTTAGTTTTGCAATGCCAAAAACCTTTCTTGCCGTGGACAAAGAAAGAAAGAAAAAGAAAGAAGAAAGAGGGCAAAAGGTTGAAGAAACGTCTCATCTTTCCCCTACAACTCAAGATAAAGAGATTGGAAAGGAGAAGAAATGTTGCATCCCCAAGACTAGTTTATCTTGAGCAGATGAATGCAAAGGATGAAAGGTGAGGAAGAGTGAGAGGAAGAAAACCAAAAGTTATGGAAAAGAACTCTCCTTCTCTGGACCAGATTTCCATTTGTTGGAGAAAGGAACGATAGATAAGTGTAGGAGGAGACGGTTTAGCTAACACCTCGTATTTAATCACAGCTGACCCTTGACCTTTGTCCTCCATGTGGAAGAAATAAAAGCAAGTTTCCCAGCATGCATCAACAAAATAATAAAAGTGTGTTTGTCACACTGTTTCTTTTACGGCCACTGTTTGCTTTGCAAAGCTTTTAAAGGAAACATACATTGTCCCTCATAATACCTTTCTCTGTTTTCTTTTTCTTAAAGTAATGTGTGGTTTATGAGCAGATGGGATTTCTATGCTTGCAAACAAATCCCAGTTGAGCTCAGGCTACGTGATCCTCCTTCAGTCCGTCTTAAGAGAGAAGAACCCATTAGGCTTTGTAATGGAGTCTGACTCCAGTAAAGGATGCTACGTTCCACTGAGTTCAGCCGGGCTCCAGTGAAAACACACCAAAGAAAACTAAAAACACGCACTGAGAGAGAGGACGTGCACGCAGAGGTAAACGTGCAGAGGATTACATGCATGCATGCAAATCTGTGGCGGTATGCACGGAGAGTGTCTCCAAACACACACACACACGCACACACAGGCCCTGCTGTGCAGACTGGTGGTCGTCATGACCTGAATGAAACTATTGATACAGAGCAAACAGTCAGACTGTGTGTGCGTGTGTGTGTGGCCACCTGCGCTAACACAAGGCCAGGTGGAGGAGGTTCTGTGGTCTGTGTAGGGAGTTACCCTCCTCCTCTTTCTATCGCTGCCAAACCTCCACTTCCTCTTTTCAAAAATATTCCGTCTCTCCTGCGTCGCCACAGCTGTCCGACTCCCCATCTCTCTCCTTGTCTTTCCCTTTGCTCATCCTTCATCCTTTTCCTTCTGCTCGTCTCATTTTGACTCAAGAGTGCCGTCAAGGTTTTTTGTTCCGATGTCTGCGAGTTCGATTCTGGACTTTTATTGTATATTTGAACAACGTTGAGGAAGCATTCAAGAGACTTCAGACCTCTGAGGCTGCACAATCTGTTCCATTCATAACAGAAGATTAAACTTGTGTAATATGCCTGCATTTTGAAATAATCTGCATGTATATCGTGAAGATAGAAAAACCTCTATTGTTTCGTGCTATGCGTATCATTTCGACTGTGTCACAAATCACATTATTCTGGAGGAGAATATGAGATCTGAATGGGTTGATGAGGCAGAATTGCAATGCAAAGCAAACGTTTCACTAGTGTAACAAACTGCTTTAATCTTTATTTATATATTACATAATCCTTGGTAATCAATGTCCAAATTAGTATTTGAATTCGGTTTTAAAGCCAGGTCGACCAATTTTAGCATTTTGCAGAGAAATTCAGAGAGAGTGTCTTTCAGGCGGTTTTTAGAAGAAAAAAAAATCCTGTCCAAGAACTACACTGCTTTATATGAGAATGAATTGAGAGCGGATGATGATACAAAACTTTTAAAAAGGTTTTCCACACAAGTGCAGTTCAAACAATGTGCATTTATGACACATTCAGCACCTGCAGACATGGTGTTTTTCCCTTTTTCTTTAGTTTCTTTGAAGATCTGCATCTACCTGCCCCTATGAGTGGATGGAAGTCTAGTTTCTACTCTCGTTATCTCATTCTCTCCCCTCCGTACACACACACACTCATTTATCAGCATCTCCATCACAAACACACACTTTCCCACACGTCTTACGTTGTACTCTGGCAGGATTTCGGAGCTGGACGAGGTGCTGCTGCTCTGGGCCGAGTCCTTGGAGTCTTGTTCCATCAGCTCCAGGCGCGGGGTCTCGGGTACACCGTCGGATACAACCACTGCCCCCAGAGGACCACCTCCACACTGACAGAGACAGAGAGAAAGAAAAAGAGAGCCAAAATGAGGTTTATTAGACTCAAAAGGATTATTTGTTTGAGAGAGAAAGACGTGTTCACTACATGTTTAACAGAAATTAAAAACAAGACATGAACTGAGGTCAGAGGAAATTGGATGAAAGTTACAGAACTCAACATCAATAATTATACTGCATTTCCCTTCACTCAGCTTCACCATTATCCTCCCCTCATATTAGTGTTAAGTGTGTTTTTCAGTGTGTTTTTCAGTGTTTTTCAGTGTGTTGTCAGGACAGCTTGTCCTCTTCACCTGTTGAAAACACACTGAGATCAACAGCACACACACAGTCAAACACACACCAACCATGTCTCCTCCTCTATAAATCACTGTAGCTGCTTCAGAGAAAGTTCGCAAGAAGTTCAGTCCCCCCTTTTCAACTTGTCTTGTCAAGTCAATTTATGGATAGCAAAAAAAAAGGAAAGACCGAGGGGGTGACAGAAATACATTTGCATCGAGCTGTTTTTATCAACTGTAATCTCATACAGACAAAACCCTGAATGGAAATAACCCAAAAATTTAAATAAAACACTGAATATCCCAAAAAGCTCTTCAGCTTCTATGCTGAGTAGGAAAAGTTGGCGTATCAATGAAGATAACGGTGTCAATGTGATACTGATGCCTCTATATGACCTACATAAACACACTGCTGCCACCATGTTAGAAAAAATGCCCTCTTGGATGTCCCCGTGGTAGATCAATCACGATGACGTGCCCTCTGGGGTGCTAACTGTGTGTCTTTGTGTAATAAATGAGTAAACAGACAATAGTTCCCCGTGTGTTTTATCACAGAGGTTCAGTGAGTTTGCTCACATAATAAAACAATTTTAATCTTATCCAGGGTTTGTAACTGTTTAACCATAAATGCACCATGACTTTCTGCACACTGCCCCAACCGCATACAGCTGGCCGCTAGTATCAAAACAAAATGAAAGTTCCTGCTTTAAAGTGATGGTTTTTTATTATACATAATAATATATCAGTTATATTATTATTTATAAAACTGATACTAGTAACCAGTGTGTTAATAATTGCTAAAGAGGAGATTAAGGAAAACTCTGATTTGCATTTTTCTTCTACCAGAGAGTAATAAAGAGAGAAATCACAACAAAAAGGGAAAAAAGACAAATTAAAATCAAGAAAGAATTCACAAATCCTTCTTATTCTGTGACGTATTCAACAGGTTAAATCTGCAGGACTTTAAAGGCTAATTTATTTGGTTTTACAACCACATGTTCACAATTTTGGAAATCAATCCTCTAAAAAAACAAAGCTGCACTGACTGAGCGGTCCGTTATAATTTTCCACTGTGCAACCAAAAATTACAGCAAACCGGGAGGGTCAAAAGACATGTAGTTGTGTTTGTGTTTGTCCGGGCATGTGCTGGCAGGTAGCAGGTAGAGAGTGCATCTGAGATCAGGTGAATCACGCAACAGCCTCTGAGCAGCCAAATAGAAAAACCTCACCTGGTTTAATGTTAATCGTTACGCATTTCTAAAGAGTCAGCGTCTCTGCATGGGGTTGAAAATAATGGTGATGTGTGTGTGTGTGTGTGTGTGTGTGTGTGTGTGTGTGCGTGTGTGTGTGTTTACCAGTGACGTGCTGTGTTCCTGTTTGCGGTTCTGTCTGCGAGCTTTGGTGTGAGTGTGCGGCTTCAGACCGGCCTGGAAGATGGTTCTGGGACGAGGCGTCTGTCTCAAACTCAACTGAGACACTCCCGAAGACTTTTCCTGGAAACACACACACAGTTTATAACTCCCAAAAAGAAGGTTCATGAGCACCACCCCCACTAAAGCAAGTGTGTGTCTGTGGTCATACCTCACTGTAGGAGTCCCAGGAACTTTCTTCCTCCTCTGCCTTCTTCCTGCTTCTTTTCCTGCTTTCCCTCGAACACTGGTTATCACCATCTGGGGGGGTAGAGAGAGAGAGAGAGAGAGAGAGAGAGACAGGGAGAGAGAGCAACAGATCAACAGAAGGTTAGACAGATGGCAGAAAAGAAACAGAATATTTTCAAGAGATAAAGTGCAGACAGAAAGACAGTCAATTCTTCTCTGTTGTGTCGCCGTAATGCAGCACATTGGATGTGAAAGGAAACAATGTATAAAAAATAATTAAATGTTTGTAATAATAAAAGTAATAAATATAGTAAAAATAGAGACTATGGCTAAGACAATGAGACTGGGCTCAGTGAAAAGACTGGGAACAGCAGAGGCCAGTTTGATGACAGGTAATATAGTACAGAGGAGAAGTACATTGAACTTTAAATTTAAAGATTTGTGAATGGAGTTTGGTGCGATGTACTTTGCATACAGACACGCACGGAGTCAGGATTAATGTTTCAACCTCTCCTTATATCCTCTAACTGCTAATCTCAGTGAACACAGCTGGACCGGGACCAGAACCAGCCTCCAGGATCTGTTTGAGCTAAGCTATACTATTGGACTATAACCCCTTGAGGTATACAGTGGTATTACAAGACATTCTGTTGGTAGTTTTAGTTACCTTTTGAATGTTTTAAACTAATATTCTCACATATAAGTGCCATCATGTTGGATTTACGTATCATTAAAGCTGCCCATGTTCCCTGTAAGAACACTGAGGACATGGTGTTGTTGTAGCTACAGTCCTGGAAATAACTACGAGACTGCGTAAATACTCAATACTTGATGCGTGTGTTACCTTGGGGTGAGGCGGCGTCTCCGTTCTGCTTGGGGCTGAAGGGGGAAGGCGGTTCGGCCGCAGTCAGAGGGCTGTTTTCATTGGTCAGCTCCACGCCACTGTCGTTCTCTGATAGGCCCTCAGCTGGAGGCGTGTCTCCGTTCACCGGCGCCTGAGGATAGAGAGGGAACAACGTCAGGGAAGGTGATTTATTAACTTTAGTCTAACTTGATCAGCTATCGTAAAAGAAGCCTGACTTTTACTGTTCAGGCATTTATGGGTGGTTTTATTTAAAAATTAATCCCTGTTCAGTTTCTGCACAGACAAGGCTAAATGACTCAGATGGACATGAAACTCTTCCGGCTAAACCGTCAGGACCAAGACTGAACCATTCAGGTTCATTGACATAAACCGGTGTATTGTACATAAGAAGTGAGAGATTAACCACAACTCCCACGGTGCATTTCAGTGACAAACATCCAAATGCAAATCAGTGACAAAAACTGAATTTGAATTGAAAATTGAAATTTAAAAGATTTAACTTCTGTACTCTTGGTAAATTTTGGATTAATGACTTCTAATGTGTAGGAACGGTGGCCGAGGCTCATGGGTATTAGAATATTATAGCCAATGACAAAAATGATTGGTCACAAAGCTGAAATAATTAAAGGACAAGTGTGTAAGCGAGTGGTATTTAGTTAGCTGCAAGTGTGTGTGAGAAACTCGTGAAAAATGTGAAAGCATTTATCTAGATCTATGTGTTTGGTTTGTCCGTTCTGGGCTACTGTAGAGACACGGCGGTTCAAACCTGGCGGACTCCGTAGAAGAGGACTCATTCTAAGGTAATGAAAACATAACGATTCTTATTTTCAGGTGATTAAACACTCATGAAAGACAGACTTGACGGATCATCTGACAGATTTTGTTCACTCTCAGACACAAACAGGAAGTGTTTCCAATGACAACCCACCTCCACCCAGCCTTCACCTGGCAGCCCACCCGGAGCTGAGGGTGCTGATAATGTGTGAGCTGGCTGCACATTCGGTGCCTGACAGAGAGGGATGACATCAACACTCAACATTCCCCCAAAGCGCCAGATAAAGACTGTCAGTCCGTCTGTTACACATTACGCCAGTAATATTAAAAGCACCGGTGCCTCTGGCTGTACAGGTATGATGCCTGCCCATTAAATTGTCACATGATATTCCTGTAATTCAATCACAAACTATTAGCAACATGCATAATGCTGAGCTAAGTGTTGAATCACAGCTCCGAGTGCTGAATGTCCCAAATCTTATAATCCTTAAAAAGCACAATAAACACTTTGCCAGACACCTTTGGAGCCTTTCCAACTAGGTCACCTGCTCCCAGAACAGCTAGCATGCACATACTCTATATTGTATACTCTTTATTTCACTACTGGATCACTGATCGCACAAAATGACATCTGACGCAAAGCATTTTGGTCAAGTTACATCTTGCAGACAAGTCTCAATCGGAAAAACAAAAGGAAGCACAGCTTACATCTCAAACACACGTCACGTCACGTTTTTTGTTGACTACAATACCTACAAGGTATCACAACAAAGCCGCTGTTGATAAGACAAATTACTTCCAGGGCAGGAATATCTTTTGCAACGTGGAGCCAAACCCACCCTTCCCTTGCAGGGTTGTTTTTTATTAAGGAGACACATTTGCAGAAAAAGGGTGCGAAGATTACAAAAAATCAAACACAAACAAACGAGCAAAAATATATTTAAACACATTAACATGCCCGAGACCGTCAGGCACGGCAGCGGGTGCAACAGCTTCTGACTCAACACAAACACAGAATGAACCATTCAGGAATAACATGATGAATCTGCGAGGATACCAGTCACAGGGAGTCACTTGTTTGGAGTGAGCGGCCTGTTTGCCAAAAGGATCATGGCGGTAAAGAGCGATCATGGCCTGAAGGAGGGCAGGAAAGCTTTCATTACTGTTTCTTTCTGCATAACTTCATTGCAGGTGAAGGAGAACCGCCGCCACCGCCGCGTGAAACCATGCCGGGTACCGTTTCTGTAGCAACCGCAGTTTGTGCTCGGCTCTGTTCGGACTTGAACCGACGACATACCACTTGAAGTACTGATTCCACTTAATCCCCGCATTGCCCCGCTCAGATTAGAGGAAGGCCGAATAAAAAAGATGTAAAGATACTAATGTACTTAGGTAACACCTGAGGATATTTACACACGTCTAAATATGTTCTGAAGTTGTGATTTAAATCGATCAGCTGGATAAAGTCACATTACCCGTTAATGGTTAAGAAACAGACACCGAACTTTGCTAGAGGCTAACACTTTATCACAGCAACACTGTCTAAGTGGTAGTCGGACACTATTGTTGCATTCACACTATGTTGGCTTAATGGTAGGAAGTTACCCCTGTTGCAAGCCTGCAGTCAAACCAGATAAACAGCTAAATTATTGTTGTATTTTTAAGTATTATTAAAGGAAAAATCTGACATTTTTTTCATCTCATAGAAATCCGTCCCTAGTCGAGCTTAACGCAGAAGTCTAATTCTTTGTCTGCTGCTGGTTTGCAGTATGTTTGTGATTGGAACGAAGTTACAGGAATAATGTCTGGGTGTAAGTAACAATATCCTGATAAGTACAGTAATCATGTCCAAATACAATTTTTGTCATGCTACACAATTTGCTTTATGCTATTAATTCACTACAATGTTACAATTCCCCCAGCTTGCCCCTGTTTCTGCTCTTTATGCTAAGCTAGGCTAACTAAACTCTTGTAAAAATCTTTCATATGTTAGCAAGTTGTTTGTGCTTCAGAAATAACACTCAAGCAAACAGACTAAACATAATTCAACTGGAGTGAATGATTATGTGGCTGCTCACACAAATAATTTACAAATAATTGTCATTTGGTGCAGAAGAGACCAGAAGTGGAGGAGGAGAGAAGGAGCAGCTGTGCAACAGATGTAAAATTATGAGATTGTGCTGACTTTTTAAAGCAAATCTCAGCTAGGCATATCTGAGGCTGTTTGTGATTGTTAAACGTCGTAAAACAGGGAACGCATGTGGTGTGTGTGTGTGTGTGTGTGTGTCTGCGATGCCAAATTTCCCCTATAATAAATGAACTCGGTGAACTTGTGTGCGCTCAAGATGGTTTGAGAGAGAGAACTACCGACAGGGATAAGGAGAGGGGGAGAGGCTGAGAGTGAGAGAGGGCCAGCAGGGTCACCAAACACATTAGGAGCTAGAGCTGTGTCTGGGGGGGGCATGAGGGTGAGGAACGGGGAGGGTGGGCAGAATGTGTGTGAGTCAGAGTCTCTGAGCAAAATTCATACTCCAGGGGCGATGGAGATATAATGACAGTGGGTCAGGGTCAGTGGCGGGAAGCAGGAGAGCTAGTGTTGGTCATCAGAGAGGAAGCGTTGCGTGTGGAGAGGGTGGAGTGAGGGGGTTCTGGGTGTGAGTGGAGGTGAGTAGTGACTGCAGGAATGAAGTGTAGTTAACTGGAGAAAAGAGTGGCGAAAGACACGGAAAGCAGCAGAGGGATGAAAGAGCAACAGTTGTTGTAAGAGCAGATGTTTATACTGCATTAACACTAGTGTGTCAAAGTCTATGAAATAACGTGGGTTTGAGTGGAAAACAGAGGTTTAACTGCAGCTTCAGCACATTTTGTTTCAGTTATGTAAAGAATTTTAATGCGATTTTCCATTAAATTAAACGATTCTGATGGCATTTAATTGATTGCTTTAATAAGGGATGCTTTTCAGTCTATAAAAACTGGGAACACATGTATTTTCATAAGCCTTAAATCTGAAACAGGAGCACTCACTCTCTCTCTCTCTTAATATTAACTGCATTTTAAATGAACCTCCGTGTCCTCTTTGACATTTAACAGTCCAGAAATGAAGGACCACAGCTGGAGGAGGTCTGTATCCCTCCAGCACAGCTGCTCACTCTTCTGACACCTTTATGTAGTGACATACATTCTCACCTGGCAGCTGCCCCGTAAACCAAAAGACTTCTGACAGAAGAGTCCACTGAGAGTTTTCCCTGCTGATATACATCTGCACTACAGTGACCAAACCAAAAGTTCAAATGTCGGACAGTAAAAAAAATGCTGCTTCTGCAGGATCACAACTTCACCCGATGGTTTGTGGAGAACCAAGCTGCACTAGTTCTCGTACTGTAGATACAGTAAAATCTTAATTCATATCCGATCAACACTGAGTTTTGTGCATTGGGTCGATATCCTGTGCAGTGGAATATAACGACGTATGTTCTGCACACAAAGAGAACTATTTAATTGTCCTTGTTCAGAAAGAACAGCTTGTTGTTATCCAGTATCAAATACGATACTACTGACGTTCTTACTTCGACAATCTTTGTTACACTAAACTAAAACGTTGAGGTTTGCACAGCGTTTATAAGACAATGTAAGAAATTATATCTGGTAGCAAATGATTTATGAAGAACTTACAATCTGACCACAAAAACAAGACTGTTTACTGTTTTTCGGTACATGTTTATAATAACAATGTACCATAAAAACACAAGTAAACGGCACCAAATCAGGTGAAAAGACACAACAGCTGAGCCACACATCGCGTTATCTAAGGTAACATCAACTGACTTTGATTTATCTGTGATCAATCATGTTGATATCCTTATCATCCAATGCATGTGGAAGAAGTGCAACAAGTTGATCCACTTCTCTGATAGTGATAAGCGAACAGCTGAGTTCTGTGTTTTAAATGTGCATACTTGTGTACGGCCCATGTCGGCTTATAGGCTATAAATCTTGTAGTGTTTGTTTATGCTACATACTTATCCATATGCAGATAAACAGCTTTAATGTGTTTGATCCAGTCTGACTGATGTAAACAAACTGAATTTTATTGTTTCCTCTGATAGAAAATTCACTTTAAATTCACATTGAACTGTTGGACAGAAAAAAAACCCTCTTATTTCTACCTCGCTTGTTACCCCTCCTTTCTTATTTTCTCTTTTCAGCTCATTTTGTTTAAATCTTTACTCCTCTCTCTCTCTCTCTCTTGCTCTCTCTCTCTCTCTCTTTCTGTCTGAACAAAACCCAACCAGGTTGTCTTTTCTAAAAGATTGGGGAAAAAAACTCCTGTAAGTACACAGAGAGAAAAGGAGCGGAGACGGAGGCTTTGTGGGTAAGTTCTTGGAGAGTAGAAGCTTCAAACTCAACAGAAACCGGCTAAAATAAGTTTGTTTCATGACATTTTTAGCCACAAACTTCCCCGGCCTTTGAAGCATTCACCCCCTCCCTTCTCCCTTTCAGGTAATACCAGCATGAGAGCGTCAGTTAAATTCTTCAGAAGTGTTTTATAAAATGTTTAATTGCTCATTTAACCTCTTCTAGTTTCAGACATGAACAGAAAATGGGATTTCATGTCGGCCAGGTAGTTGTGTAGACTGTTATCATCATCATTATCCTTCATTAACCTGCCTTCCAGGATATCCGTCACTCCTCCTCCTCTTCCTCCACCTCCTCCACCTTCTCCTTTCTGCTGCTGGCAGACATGAACATGCCCACTGGAGCATTAAAGTAGCACAAATGATCCTTTTCTCGCCCCTCTGCCTCCCTTTTTGCTCTCCTTTATAGTACAAATACTGCAACTACTTCCAGCTACAACTATTTCCACTACCACCGCTACTGTTTAAAGCATGTAGAACATGTGTCTATCCACCTCAGGCCTCCTGCACGTATGTGTGTGGTAAAGCAGCGTGTAAAGCCTTGCACTGTGCAGATTTCACCCACCTACGTCACACACATTCCTCACCGTGCAACAGTCTGCCCCGCGGCGCTCTGACAGCGCTGTCAAAACATCTTAGCAAAGCCTAAATGGTTAGAAACGCGGGTCTATGGCTAACATTTGAACAGAACTGTTCCTGAATGCAGTCAATCGTTAATCTGAGGGGGAGTTTAAGGCTCTGAGAGTGTTATCTTTTCTTAACAAAGAGCTGTGCACTAAAAAGTTTATTTCAAAATTTGTGCCTCTGGTCATTTTGTCCGTGATGCTGCTCAACAAAAATACAAGTTCACACAGTTTACAGTGCTTAGAAGCCTAGTATGTAATAATAATAATAATAATAATAATAATAATAATAATAATAATAAGAGATAATAGTAT